CTGCTCAAGCGGATAAGACCCAGGAGCCAGAAGCCAACCTCACGTCCAGACTGTAAAACTTGATGAAGGTGTTAGGAGAGGACCATCCTGCCACAGCACAAACATCTTCCATCGAGGACCCTTTGAAGAAGGCCTGAGAAGAAGCCACTGCTCTTGTAGAATGAGCACGCACCCCTAGAGGCGAAGTCAAGCCACGCGCCAAAGAGATAGCCTCCACTATCCAGTGTGACATCTGCTGTTTAGTGACAGCAGAACCTCTTCTCTTACCACCAAAACACACAAACAACTGGTCAGATCCACGCCACTGAGCCGTGCAGTCGACATAGATCCTAAGTGCCCTAACTGGGCAGAGACTCAGGCTAACTGGCCCCGCATCAGCTGGGGAAAAAGCCTCTAAGACCACTTGCTGAAAGCCGAAGTGACCTTAGGAACATAATCAGGCCTAGGTCGCAAAAAGACTTTAACAAGTCCTGGGGCAAAGTCCATACACGAAGGACTGATGGAGAGAGCCAGCAGATCCCCTACCCTCTTAAGGGCGGATAAAGCCACCAAAAGAACCGTCTTGAGGGTCAAGAGCTTCTCTGACACAGACTCCAATGGTTCAAAAGGATGGCCTGTCAGACCCTCCAAAACAATCGATAAGTCCCAAGAAGGAACTTATGCTAGGCGGAAAGGCCTAAGCCGTCTCGAACCCTGCTTAAAACGGGAGACCAAGGGGTGCCGACCAACTGAAACACCTCCCACGAGTGCATGTCCCGCCGATATGGCCGCCCCGTACACCTTAAGAGTGGCGGGGTAACCCCCTCAGAGAAACGACTTTAAAGAAACTCCAGTACTGAACTGATGGGGCAATGGACTGGATCCAGAATGCGCTGTCTACACCAAGAGGCAAAAAGTCTCCACTTGAAAGCATATAAGGGTCTAGTGGAGGGAGCCCTAGAATTTATAATATTGTCGGTAATCTCAACCGAGAGACCGGAATACATTAGCGTACTCCGCTCAGGGGCCACACCCATAACCTCCATAATTCCGGTCGAGGATGCCAAATCTTGCCCCGAGCTTGTGTCAACAGATCGTGTCTGAAGGGAACCTCCCATGGAGGGCCAGCTAGCAGACTGACCAGGTCTGAGAACCACGACTGAGTGGGCCACCACGGGGCCACCAGCAGCAGGTGCTCCACTCTGTCTGATCATACTCTGTACTGAACTGCTGGGAGCAACCAGATTGGGGGAAAAGCATAAAGATTGGTCCTGGGCCATTTGTGGGCCAGAGCATCCAGACCTAGAGGCGACGGGGTAGACACGGAAAACCAAAGCGGGCAGTGCGTAGTCATGCTCAAAGCAAACAAGTCCACTTTCACTTGGCCGAACCTCTGCCATATAAGATCCACCACCTGGGGCTGCAATCTCCACTCCCCATCCTCCAGACTCTGTCTCGAGAACAGGTCTGCTCCTGCGTTCAGGTGACCTGGGATATGGACTGCTCTGACCGACAGGAGCTTTGTCTGAGTCCAAAGAAGAACACACCTCGTACCGTCGTAGGAAGAACCCTGCTGAAAGCAGGTGGCCCTTTCCGAAACTGGATGGTGTAACTGTGTCGAATGGTGCGTAGTACCCATTGTGAGACGTTGGGCAGGCGTCTCCACGTGGCCCAATAATCTGCCAGGGTGCTTTAGACGTTCTACGGTTGGAACGTTCACCTGATTTTCCTGTATAAGGTCCCGGAGCACCTGAGTGGTGGGAAAGTCTATAACAGGAAGATGTCCAATTGTCCTGTCGGGCCTGCCCCACCACCCCAAAAGTGGGAGCTTTGAAGGCCGTCATAAACGGGCCATGCTTGCATGACCCTTGGGCTTTCTCTTGAACTCTGAATGCTGGAACACGCAGAGTATCTGAGGGAGTGCTCGTCATAAGGACTCGACCTAAAACTGCCAGAGGCGCAGTATGCGGCGGGACTGTCAAGATCCAAAGATGAGCAGAGGAATCAGGAACTGCTATTAGGAGCCTGAGAACGAGAGGAATTGGCCGTCAAACTCAGGTCTATCCGCTTGCAATGCCGTGGGTGAGCAGGTGGGCGAGACCTAGGACCCCAGTCCTTACGAGGGGGTAACTTAGGCGACGGCTCATGCCGCTGGACCTCGCGAGGGTGCTGCAAAGAGGATGAGCGTGAACGAGCCGCAGGTGGCTGATGCTCTACTTCCTTGGCCCTGTGCGGGATGAACTGACGAAACACGGCGGACTGCTGTTTCGCTGCTCGAAACTTCTCCACGACAGTCGCGACCTAATCCCCGAACAGACCATCACTAGAAATGGGGGCGTCCAAAAGAAAAGTCCTGTCCTTTTCCTTAATGTCAGTGAGAGTGAGCCAAAGGTGGCGCTCAACTGACACTAAACCTGCCATGGACCTGCCCACTGCCCGAGCCGTGTGCCTGCCCTGGTAGCCCTAAGCGCCAAGTCAGTAGCTCGCCTGAGCTCTTTAACAGCCTCTAGGCTCAGACCCTCACCTTCGTCCAGCTCCTTAAGCACATCTGCTTGATAAGCCTGGAGTACACCCATAGAATGGAGTGTAGCCACGGCCTGCCCAGCAGCCATATAAGATTTTCTGATTAAAGCAGACGTAATCCTACATGGCTTGGACGGCAACAGAGGGCGTGACTTCCAAGACGGAGCAGAATTCGGTGCGAGATGTGTCTTCTACGGCCGGCATCGCCACATAGCCATGATCCGCCATTTTAGAAACCATGGCGAAATCAGCGGCATCGGGATTAGTAATACGCGCTGAAAAAGATTGTTTCCAAGACCTCAAAACCTCAAGGTGGAGGTCTTGGAAGAAGTGGAGAGGCCTACGGGGCTGAGACGGATTGCGGCTAGACAAAAATTGATCGTCCAGTTTCAACTGGGCCTGATTTTGCACCGGCTCGCTATCTCACTCTAACCCCAGCGTATCCACAGCACGTGTTACAACATCTAACAGTTCGCTGTAAGATGGGGAGGTGCGTTTCTCCTGTCCACTCGGAGGGAGAGAACTGCACACTTCACCCAATAAATCCTCTGAATCGGAGGCCGCTGTGGACAGCACGTCTTCATCATACGGCATACAACCGAAAAACATCGCATCACAAGCTTCCGGGGTAGGCCGCAAATTATCATTGACAAAGACCACGGGATCCCCGTATCGCTCTTTGAGCGCTTGCACATGGCCTGGAGAGAGCGAGAGAAAAGGAGAGAACTTCGTTGACTCACCCTCTAAGAGCCTCCGCTCACATGCGTCACCCCAAGCGACCGTCTCATGCGGGGCCTCGGCAACCGCAGAAACAGGATAGCGGGGGTTAGACACGAGGCCTACTTTATTCGAGAAGGCCGCGAACCTCAAGCGCAATGCTTTTAGCTGTAGGCTATCACAGTGTCGACAATCAGAAAGGCCGCTAAGCGCTGCTTGAGCGTGTTGTAGGCCCAAACATTGCACGCACCTGTCATGAGAGTCTCCTCCTGCGATAAACCTGTCACACGGCTCGATGCATCTCCTGTAACTCATTGTGTCCGCTGAAGAGGAGTAAACTGCTCTTTTGAAGGAATTAGCTAAGAACACGACAAAAAGAACGCTTTCCTATGGGCGACAGATGATTCGTTTCCTGAAGGAAATGAAATCTGATGAAATAACGCGCAGCACGCTGATATAGCTTATCTACGTGCGAGTTGGGGGTGGTGCTAAGTGCTATTTGGTGTGATGGTATAAGGGCTTCAGACATTCGTCACACCGAAGATGTTCCCAAAGCGATGACATCATCGCAGCATCGAAGTGAGCCTATGAGAGGGAACGAGCATCTTCCATCCGAAGACTTGTGTTGCATTTTGGGGCAAAGCAAAAAAAAAACCATTGTCAAACAACAATATAAAATGCGGTAAACTATGAATTGGTTATTCTACAATTAATTGTACTATAAGTTATACTTCAATTGGAAAATACTGTAAATTGATAAACTGTTCGGCGTGATGACGTTTAATGTCTCCGATAGCATCTGTAGTCCCATTTAGCAACTTGATAGCAACCGTCTTTTTAAAGAAACGTAACAGTTTTTAAAAATCACGAGTGGGGTGTAACTGGTGTGTTTTATGTCGTAGAATAAACCGTGAAAGTATCTTGAGCTTGTGTGAACCACGGACCTTATTTTAGGGGATTTAACCAAACTCCCATTCAAAAAACCCATTGACTCTGGGACGATGGAAACGGAAGTGCTAAAATGCTGACCGGCTTCTGGGTTTTTGCCTACAGAGTGACATCATAGTTCCACCACTCTATATTGAATAGAGGGCATGGTTTTATTTTTGCGCTCCTCCTCTCTGTTGCTCACTCATAGCAATCTTAACGGTTGGAGGGGCGTGTTTAAGGATATTCTGCCCAAGCCGTCAAACTGACGTCATCAGAAAAGGAATGCCATTCCAGAGCGGAAGTAAATGTTCAGATTTTGATTAAAGATTACCAAAACAATTTTTTTTTTCAGCGGATTAACTTGCACTGATTAATTGTTCACATCAAGACTAGCAATGTGCGCTAGTAAAGTAAATAAAGTAAATTTTGATTTCATGTGGACGAAAAAATAAAAATGCAATAAAACTTTTTGCCATAATAGAATACTACATTTATTTAATCAATTTATTTATTTATTTAATTAATTAATACATTTTATTTCATTCACGTTCTAATGCAAAAACATATTGTTGTTGCCAAACTGGTCGTACAAACGGTTCAGTAATACAAAAAAAGTCTTGTGTAGTTCAGTATGATTTCCATAGTAAAAGTCCTTTCAAAACTAATAATAATTTCCACTAAAATAATGCAGCCATAATATACATAATGTGGCTGAAAATTTTTGAGAGTTTCAAAGTGTAATAAGCTTTCAGAATGAATAAAGAAATAATAAATAAATAAATAGCGTTTTTAAACTTTATTATTATTATTATTTTAACAAGTCATCACATTGCTAATCGCGTTTGGACGAAATGAATCCTATCGGCTCCTGTACAGTTATTCAGCATGGCGTCCTCCGTAAGGGCAGCTTCACGGTTTTGTTCTTTGTGTCTGTTTACGTCTTTAAGACACAATGTCAGCAGTGCAGTTAGACGGCCCTGCCGACCCTGCTCCTCTCGACCGGTCAGGAGCAGTCTGTACGAGCATGTGCTGGAAGGGTACAGTCACAAACCTAAACTGGACATGCGGCGTGTGTGCGAGGAGACGGATGCGGTGAAGGAGGAGGTGGAGGATCGGAAAGGAGATCTGCGGGCAGCTGATGTCGGAGTTATCGTAAGACACTACATTACATGTCATTCATTAAAACAATACTGCTACGTGAACTGCACGTGTGCTTCTTTTAGATAATGAATGTGCACACGTAATCGGAACATCTGTGTGGTGCAATGTGTCCAGATCGCAGTATGGAAGGAATTTCAACAGAAGGTGCAAAAAGAAATATCAGATTTGGAGACGAGAAAGAATGTGATCAGTGCCAAAGTCCGCGCTCTTGTGGTAAGTGTACACATGTATGCAGTATGATATGTAATTCATCTAAACTTGCACAACTATTTAAAGGGATGGTTCACCCAAAAATGAAAATTCTACTCACGCTCGTGTTGTTCCAAACCTGTTGTGGTGGAAATTCGGCTGTAAAATTAAAATCAGACTGCTCAATGATAAAATGATCAAATTAAATGTATTTGTCTGAAAATCATGATCTAGGGTAGTGTCGTTATGGCCAAAACATTCCTCAGAGTGCTACAAAATGAGCTCTTAAAGGGGTCATATGATGCGATTTCAAGTTTTCCTGTGTTACAAGCTGATTGTGCATAGATAAGATCCCTGAAGTTGCAAAGACTAAAGAACAAGTACAAAAAAAAGAAAGATGCACTGTTATGGAGATTTTTCCATCTACAGATTTTTCCCTGACCTTCTTTTCTCTTTAAATTAAGGGTGTACACTATTGCTGAAAAACACAATCACTATTTAGCAGTCAGATGTCCGTATGCACAAAGGCGCAGATCCCTAAACAAGACCATATCTACTGATGAAACTTTTTTGTAGAAGCATTTTTTAAATTTGAACTAGAACCTCATGACTACACCATGTATGAGATGAGTTATGTATGAGAAGCTGCAAAAGACACAGGCGCATTCGATCCTGGTAGAGTAGACTACAATGCCGGCTGTTCTGACTCAAAGACTGTAAGTAGTTTTTTTTATATTTAAAGAGTTTTTATTTTTTATATTTAAAGCAAGTTTTTTGGGCAGTGTAGAGTAGGGCTTGTTGTTTGTCATTTCTCTGATCACAAATGCAGACATGGTTTTATGTTTACGCGGCGCGATGCAACGCAGCGCGTAAAAAGACAGTATAAGTCATTATAATCCATAATTATGTCCCCACTGGATGCAACAAATGCCTCGTTTATAATGGGTTTTAATGTTTTTGAATCATCGCTCCGGCCGGACAGGGCATCATCACAGTATGTTAAGGGGCGTAACATTTCCGTCACACGCTTGAGGCATTCGGCCAATCATAACTTACTGGATAGCTGGCCAATCACAGCACACCTTGCTTTTCAGACCGATGAGCTTTGTAAAAATCTATGCGTTTCAGAAAGGCGGGGCATAGAGGAGAAACAATAATGTACAGTATGTGGAAAATAATGTGTTTTTTGAACCTTAAACCGCATAAACACATTTCATTACACCAAATACACAAAATAATGTTCTTTTTAGCAACATCATATGACCCCTTTAATCTACTATCAGGTCTAGGGGGATGTCTATCCAAGAGATCGTTCATACATTCATTAAAGTCTCCACCAATTATAAAATAAGCATCATTATATTTCTTAAGCAACTTTCTAAAAGTATCCACTATGAGAGCAAACAATACCCTATTGGAAGCATGAGAATTGTGTCCATGTATACAACAAGCCATAAAGGTGGCATTATCTTGTCTAATTACAGCAATAACCCATCTAGCTTCATCTGAACATAAAGTTTCTAGTATAGCCCCTTTAAACCGATGAACTAGAATAGCAGTTCCAGCTGAGTGGTTGCTGCCATGACTAAAAAAAAATTGAGTTTCCCCATTGCATCCTCCAAAACTTAGCATCTGTCTCCCCTGAGTGAGTTTCTTGAAAAAAATAAATCAGCTGTACTTCTTTTACAAAACAAAACAAAAATTACTTTTCTTTTCAGACTGTCACGCAAACCTCTAACATTCAAAGTCACAAACGATAAGAATTTGAACATGTACTCCATAACAGGAGCAACTGAACAATATAAACAAAAATGACAAAAAGATAACTTTTACTAGACTTACTCTAGATATAAAGGGAGAGGTGGATAATATAATAACCAGTAAAGCACACAAGGCATCAAGGTGATAAACAAATGAGAAAAAAGAGAGGAAAAAAGGGTAATTAATTAAATGATAATTATAAATAAAATAAAATAAAAATGTGAAATGTAAAAAATAATTTTATGACTACATCATCGTATGCAGGAAACAAACTACACAAAAGACCTAATAAATAAGAGGGGGGGGGGGAAATTATATAAAAAATAAATGAATAAATAAATCAAATAATATATAATTAACGAGTAAATATGATAACCTTCTTGTTATAATGAATTTAGACGTTTCAGTACATTTTAAATTGCTAGTCCATTTTCACATTTCCAACCTTTGCATAGAAGAAGCGGTGAATAGTTACCGGTAGCAAGTTAGCCGGTAGTCGAATAGAAGATTTTTTTCTCCGTCAATTAGAGCAAATTAATTGCGAAAGGTTGCCTTTTTGCCCTCCTCCCTTGCCTTCTTCACAAGAGGCCAAAGTCTCTCTCTCGCTGTTCTATCCTCAGGAGACAGTGGCTCAGAAAGACGCAGTCTGTTCTCAGTCAAAAATGTGCAACCTTTGGCAGCATTCCAAATGACATCCCGGGTGCGTTGTAAAGAAAAGAGAATTATGATTGATTTGGCCTTTCCATCGGCACGCTTCGGGCCCAAACGATGAGCGATGTCAACGCTGTTCTGAAGCCTGTCTGCGATTCCTGGAGTAACCTTCCCCTAGATGTTGATGACCACACTCCGGACATCTTCCCCATCTTTTTCCGCAACACCATGTAACTTTAGAAACCACTTCCAACTGTAGCGTCCTGTATGCATTCCTGTTCACTTGCTTTCAGCGATTTGTTTTCCTCTCTCAAGCCATGAATCTCGGATTCCGAGTGATTTAGAGCCTCTTTATGGACGCCAACATCCAAAACAAGTTGTTGCACTGTAGCGCTTAGACTCTTGATTTGTTTCGCTGTTGCCTCAGTGGTAATTTCGATCCAAACTTTTGCAATGTCTTGTCATGTTTTGAAGCGAGCTCCTGTATAGCAGACAAGACATCCGCGTTCCTGCTAACGTTAGAGTCCATGCGTTTAGTTTCTTTAGCAGCCGGTTTCTTTGGAGTATCTATGAGGGTCACCTCATCAACCTCACTGTCAAAGTTTGGGCATGAGTCAAACCACTGAGATTCTGTTTCACCCTGAAGATTAAATCCTGAGCCACTCGAAAATGATGCAGAATCTTCAATATGATCAGCCGTATCAAGAGTGTTGGACGACATGGCATCGAGACAAACTTGCTCAGTTTTCTTTCTGCCTCTCTTTCCCATGCATAAAGTTGTACAGGAGGAAACGTAAAAAAAAATGTTACTTAGTTCTTTTCTACGTTCTCACCAATTTAAGCAACAGGTTATTACCACTTCACCTTAAACGTCCCTGAAGAAAAACTACGCAACCACCTACATCACCGCCATCTTGGCCTCCACACCTCCACTTTCCCGTTTTACATGTTATAGTACATAGTTCGATTAATGGCACACGTCATTATGTCCCTTCGTGACGCCATCCGACGTCTCCTCCAGAATTTCACGTATAAGCATATAGTTTCGTCTTGATGCCATGTACAGTTTTGGGTGTTTCATTTTTAATTTTATGAAAGCTTCAAGTGCAGTTAATTATTCGTACGTGCAGACGACGGCGGGTGTCCAAGCTCTTTTATTTGCCGTCAAATGGTTGAGCACTCTCTTTTGTGTGTATCCTGTCGCAAAATGCGGCGAAAAGTCCTATACGATGGTAATAATGTGATTAAGGTGTTTACATGTCTGTTCTGCACTTCAGTAATGCAACTAAAATAGGAATACTCCACATGTCTTAATTCGATTTCTGTTTACTTCGATTATGATTTTAGCCGGATTAAGGTAATCAAAAATCAGATGTCGTCACGTGGGGACGTAATGACGTGTGCCATTAATCGAACTATGTACTATAACATGTAAAACGGGAACATGAAAGGAATATTCTAAAAGCAACTCATGTAAACACCATAATCATAATATTAGCTTATTTAGAATAAGGTAAATAATTAGATTACTGATGTCCATGTAAACGTAGTCAGTGATAAAGACCCCAGGACCTCATTGTTTGTGTCAGATAAGAGAGAGAGAGATAAAAAAACATGCAGTGTTGGGGGTACTCCAGGACCAGGATTGGAAACCACTGGCTTACAACATCTCAGTCAAAATCTAACCCTTACATTTACAGCATAATGTTCATTGGGCAGCAGTCTATTTGAAAACGTAAGTTCATCCCCTTATATTCTTAAACTGTTGACATTCTCTAGAAGCAATTACTTTAGTCTTCCTTCTCTAATCCCTTCATTAAAAACATCATATATTAAGTGAAGTATAAATGTAGAAAATCTGTTTTCAATACATGACATAAAAATACTGATTTACAAACATATGTCAAAAAAAAAAGTTTCTTTCATGATTTAAAAGCAGTGGCATTGATAGAATACATAAACGTAGTCAGTGATAAAGACCCCAGGACCTCATTGTTTGTGTCAGATAAGAGAGAGAGAGATAAAAAACATGCAGTGTTGGGGGTACTCCAGGACCAGGATTGGGAACCACTGGCTTACAACATCTCAGTCAAAATCTAACCCTTACATTTACAGCATAATGTTCATTGGGCAGCAGTCTATTTGAAAACGTAAGTTCATCCCCTTATATTCTTAAACTGTTGACATTCTCTAGAAGCAATTACTTTAGTCTTCCTTCTCTAATCCCTTCATTAAAAACATCATATATTAAGTGAAGTATAAATGTAGAAAATCTGTTTTCAATACATGACATAAAAATACTGATTTACAAACATATGTCAAAAAAAAAAGTTTCTTTCATGATTTAAAAGCAGTGGCATTGATAGAATACACATATATAAAAAAAAAAGGAAATTTTCTCTTAGACTGTATGAATTTCTTTCTTATTTTAAGCACAGAAGATATTTTGAAGAATGTTGATTACCAAACAGGTGACAATAGCTATTGTCCTCCATAGTATTAATGTCAGAAGTGTTTTATTTTGGGGTGAACAATCCCATTAAGCTAAAAGGTGAATTATTTAGGGGAAAATACAAGAAGTGGTGATTACTTACAGTTCTTAAAAATACTCTTTGCTTCATACATATACGTATACATATGTTTTAAATGTATAAAAAAAAGGAAATGTTCTCTTAGACTGTATGAATTTCTTTCTTATTTTAAGCACAGAAGATATTTTGAAGAATGTTGATAACCAAACAGGTGACAATAGCTATTGTCCTCCATAGTATTAATGTCAGAAGTGTTTTATTTTGGGGTGAACAATCCCATTAAGCTAAAAGGTGAATTATTTAGGGGAAAATACAAGAAGTGGTGATTACTTACAGTTCTTAAAAATACTCTTTGCTTCATACATATACGTATACATATGTTTTAAATGAACAGTTTGACCAGAAATTGTCGATGAAGGTCAATTTCTGGTGTGTACCCTGGCTGTTATTTTCTGTATTATGGAAGTAAGTGAGGACTGGGTGTCCACTGCAAAATAGACAAAATCAGTTAGTAGTCTATGTAAATAGTGCACTAGCCTATATTCCAAGTCTTTAACTTTAAATCTCTTGATGTTGAAATAAAGTTATTGTTGATGTTATTTGGCAGCTGGGTATTTATTTCTGGATAAAATGGGTTTTTAGTCAATTTTTTTAATTTTTTGACAAATCTACTTTGGCTAGTGTAAGTGCCAGCTTTCTTTGATTTCTGTAAGTTTTTAGACTTTAGTTTGAGTAAATGAATAAAAAAATACTTGAGAATAATTTAAAGCTGTGAATATATTTACTATATTTACTATATTTTAGTGATGTTTCTGCTTGCTATCATGTGCATGTTATGCATTGGAATACTCTTTTCCTTTCTCTGTTTTGTACTTGACAGTTTGAGGAGTACACGAGTGCTAGGGAAGAGGGTAGAGCAATCAGAGAGAAACTTAGTCGGTTGTATGTGCAAGAGGGTGAGCTGGAGAAACAACATTACTGCCATGCCCTAAAATTGCCCAACAGAACACATCCAAGTGTGGTAAGACACCGCTTACCTTTTCATAATAAAAAAAAAAGAGGAAAACCCTGGGAAATGCCTTATCTTCAGTTCAAAAGGACATTTTATGTAGTAGTTTAAGTAAGATATCTGATCAAAAAATGGTAATTAATTCCTCTTAACTGGTATTAAATAATTAAATGTTAAACTAAGCAAATCCAATTATCAGATATACACCAAAACAAACAACAGTATATAAAGACATGCACATGCAAAGGTGTGTTTTTACTTATTTTACAGGAATGTAATTTTTTCTTTTCTCATAGCCCATCGGAAATGAGAGCCAGGCAAGCGTGGTTGAATTGGTTGGTCAGAAACTAGGTACATTTATTTGATGTAAACTGTATTATCCCTCTCCTTAAATTGTTTGGGCAAAAATACATTTTGGTTAGTAGCAGCAATCATTACTTGTATTGACATTGAGGTTTGACGTACCTGATTTCTTGCAGCAGTTGACAGCAGTTCTCTAGTGAGATCAGTGTTTAACAGAGTAGTTTAGTTAATATTTGTTGTTAACTATCTTTATCATGGCAGTGCCTGGTAAAATGTTTTGCAAATGCATTGATGTGTTGCACAATATGTATTGTAATATACTGTATTGTCATGTGTCCACTACAGAATTTGATTTCAAACCAAAAGGCCACCTGCAAATTGGAGAGAATCTTGACATCGTAAGACAAAGGTTAGATGTTTTCTTTCTCTAATGGTTTAATTTTATTTAAATCTTTATTTTTATAAATTTTTTTAATTAATCTTTTCCCTTAGACGACTTGCCCATGTGTCAGGGCACAGATCATACTATTTGAGAGGTGTAGGGGCCAGACTTCAGTTTGCCTTGCAAAATTATACCATGGATCTTCTTCAGAAACGGGTTTGTATGTTTTCATCTTTTGGAATAATGTGTACCCATGAATGGAATTAAAGGGATAGTTCACCCAAAAATGACTTCTGTCATTAATTTCTCACCCTCATGTCATTCCAAACCCTTAAGACCATCGTTCATCTTCTGGCCAGAGAGCTCTCAGATGTCATCACAAATATCTTAATTTGTGTTCAGAAGATGAACGAAGGTTTTACGGGTTTGGAACGACATGAGGGTGAACAATTAATGACAGAATTTAAATTTTTGGGTGAACTATTCTTTAATAATGTAAATATATAATATATATATATAGAGCACTTCATGCTTCCTTCTGCTGACAAGCTGATTTGATTGGAGATGCTGATTTCATTTTCCAGCAGGACTTGGCACCTGCCCACACTGCCAAAAGCACCAAAAGATGGTTCCATGACCATGGTGTTACTGTGCTTGATTGGCCTGCAAGCTCGCCTGACCTGAACCCCATAGAGAATCTATGGGGTATTGTCAAGAGGAAGATGAGAGACACCAGACCCAACAATGCAGATGACCTGAAGGCCGCTATCAAAGCAACCTGGGCTTCCATACCACCTCAGTAGTGCCACAGGCTGATTGTCTCCATGCCACGCCGCACTGATGCAGTAATTCATGCAAAAGGAGGCCCAACCAAGTATTGAGTACATGTACAGTAAATTAACATACTTTCCAGAAGGCCAACAATTCACTAAAAATGTTTTTTTTAATTGGTCTTATGAAGTATTCTAATTTGTTGAGATAGTGAATTGGTGGAGCATAGTTTTTATGGAAAGTGATGAACAATATTAAATGTTTAGATTATTAAAGTGAAGCAACTGAGGACTGAGTATGATCGGTTTCAAGATGCCTGTTGCTAGGAGAAATTTTTTTTATATATCATTGTTATCAGCATTTGTTTCTCCTACAGTAAATTTAGAGGGTGGTAGAGCTGGAAGCTGATGAAAACCATTCATATTTTTGGATGAGGCAGGCTTTACCCTGGCCATGACATGGTTGAGAGGGGCCCAGAACGATGTTCGCTGGGGGCCCGACCACCCCCCACTGAATGTGAATTTGAGGGGACCCCATAGCAAAATCAGTGCAATGGGCCCAGAATTCCTCGCAACGGCACTGAGAGAGGGGCCCAGAACGATGTTCGCTGGGGGGCCCGACCACCCCCCACTGAATGTGAATTTGAGGGGACCCCATAGCAAAATCAGTGCAATGGGCCCAGAATTCCTCGCAACGGCACTGAGAGCAATCATGGTTTCAGGCCCATCCACAGTTTATCACCTTATCTACCACCATACTCCCCTTTCCTTACTGTAAATGATTGTACTAAAAACTACACAGTGAAATTATGGGTATATTTTGTGTGGGGGATCTAAAGTAATGTTCCATAATAAATGTGTTTTTTAAACCAATGCTTCTGCGAATGCAAGGCTTCTTTAAAGATATGAATGCAATATGCAAAGTTTTTAACATTGGACAGCCTGTGTTAAAAGTTTTGAGTTTTGTGTCTAGAGTTTAAAAAAATGACATAAAGGTTCTGAAATTGGTGACAAAATGATTGTTAAAAACTGTAATAAAGCAAAGAGTACTTATACATTTATATTGTGTAGTGTCTTGTTTGCACTCACAGTTGATCAAGAATCTTTTTTTTATTATTATTAGTCAATCCCTGGAGGTTTTTGTTTTAATATGCAATGTGGCTAATACACTCGGATTTCTGGGCACTAATCTCAAAACATGTGATTACATGTCATAACATGTTCTCCTTTCTCTCATTTTCCTTATTTCATGTTACAGTTTTTTTCCATTTCTTACACACAAAATCTTTACTTGTCACACAATTTCTGAAACCTGAAACTCAAACACCAGAACCACACACCAAGTCTGCAAAACCATACACTAATTCTTGGCCTTAGACTCAGTTTTCAATTTCATAAAACACTTTTTGCAAAACACAACACACAATTCTCTATATAACACACAAAAATCTAACAGGAATTAATATTATGGCAAAGGTGTTTGCAAATGTTTGCTTTTGAGATGTGTTTGTGATATTTTGAATGCAGTGCTTCATTTTGCAAGAGATGTGAGGCATTTAGCATTTTGTGTGTGCAATTCTTGGAATTCAGAGTATTGTCTGCATTTATCACTCTCCTAGTGGTAGCACTTTATGGAGCCAGTATCCTGTCTGAGTTTAGTCTAGTTCCTAGTTCTAGTCCTTGCCTGATTGTCTGTTCCTGATAATCTGCCTGTCTTGGATTTCTCTCTCGTCTTGTTGTTTGGATTCTGTTTGCACCTCGCCTGGATTATTATCTGCCTGTGGATTACTCGCCTGCCTCATCCTTTGGATTGTTCGCCGTTGATCGACCTACGCCTGTTTATTGGATCACTCTTCTGTCTTGCCCTCTAAATACCTGTTTGCCATTGTCCGACCCTTGCCTGTTTTGACTATGTTTAAGAATAAAGCTTTGCAGATGGATCCACATGTCTCTCGTCTCGTTCGCCCCGTTACAGTTATACAGATATAGTTCATTTTACACATTCCACTGACTCCATTCTAGTGCACAGTTGAGCATCAAAGCCTTTCAAAGTATACTCCATTGACTGAAATCACTCACACATGCACTGTTGTCCATGTACAAGTGACACAAATGTCAACGGGCACAAAAAATCAGGCTGCACATGAACTGTGCTTATGCATTCTTTCAATTTTAGTTGTACACTCTTAAATTCCTTGTTGTAAATTCAACAGACTCAACAGAGAAAACTGCTCTGATTGCCACTGTTTTGTGATTGTGATTAAATTATTTTTAATCACAATTTTACAGTTTTTTTTCCTTCAGCTGCTTACACACCAAAACTTGTCACACAATTGTTGAAACCTAACACTCAAACACCAGAACCACACACCAAATCCATACACTAATTCTCTGCCTTAGACTCAGTTTTCAAAACACAACACACAATTATCTATGCAACACACAAAAATCTAACAGGAATTAATATTACGGCAAAGGTGTTTGCAAATGTTTGCTTTTGAGATGTGTTTGTAATATTTTGAATGCAGTGCTTCATTTTCACAAGAAAACAAGAGATGTGAGGCGTTTTGCATCGTATGTGTGCAATTCTTGGATTTGTGTATAAAGTAAAGAAAAAAAGAGGCAAAGTTTGGAAAATATGTGTAAGCAGTTGAAAAAAAACTGTAATACCGTTTTTCTCGATTGCTAACACACAATTCATGAAACAATTCACCATTTTCTCACAACTATAAACACAATCTCAAAACTACACACCAACTTGTGCAAACTTCCAGGTCAAAATCAAATAGTTTAGTCAAAAACATGTTCTCTTTTGTCAGACTCAAGATTTGCCTCAGATGATACACAAACCTGTTTCAATTCAACAATTCAAAACACTGTTACAAAACCTCCTTTTGGGAAATAGGAATCCTTTTGTTACAGTATACAACATAAATATAAGGGTGCAGATACAGTAAAATTCAGCAATAAACTTTAAGAAACCTTTACTGTCATTACACTTCTGTAAAGAGATCTTACAGTAGATGAAAAGCACTACAAGAGAAAAGTTCAAAGACCAAACAACTGAATATACAGTAAACACACATTGGAATATACTGTCAGTTATACTTTACAGAAATAAATAATGAATGAATAATTACAGTTTTTCTCGATTGCTAACACACTATAACTGATTCTGTATGACTGTTTATACACACGTTCCAATCATATTGTATGTGTAAGTAGTAATGAAACCTTGTAGATGAGCCTGTAGGCTAACTTCCCTCATGGTCAGTCCATGCAGAAGAACATGGTCAACTATTGTTGCTTTGTATTTCATCAGAAACAAATGACTTTTGACCTCATCCACTTCATTTTTATTTCCCCCTCCTATTCCTCTTTGTCTCCCACTAGCAGGATTAATTTTCCAAAACTCATAATCACTTGTGCTCTTGTGCATAACATCCTGAGATTCTGACCTGTGTGTCATCAGTTTTGCTACTGAATGTTCACATATGCATAAATGTGCACTGTCTGAGTTCATTTTTTGATGCTTGAGTTAATTATATTGTGTGTTTGTGTTTTCTGAATGAGAACATGTTTAAACCTGTGCAAAATTATGGCGTTTTGAGAGTTTTGCAGAAAACACTGAGCAAATTGGAACGTGTGTGCAAACAGGTGAAATGTGTTAAAGGTTTTGAGAAATGTGTCTTTGTTTCGAGAACTGTATGAATGGTTTGGAAAGTTGGGCCAAATGAATCAGTTATAGTGTGTTAGCCATCGGGAAAACTGTAAGTTCAACCAATACAGGAGTCTCACAATAATAATTATAATAATAAGTAGAGAGTTTCAGAGAGCAAGGCATGTACCTGGTTAGCATAGTGAGGACAATCCCTAGATAAAGCATGTGTGTCTAATCAAGCAACCCTTATATTATTCCAACAGCAGAAGACATTGGTCTCTATTTAGTCTCAGCCTCAGACGTCACGCCTATTTGTTGGCTAAACGTCTGATGCATATGGCACACAAAAGTGGAAATACTTCAGGAGTTTCGAAGTTGCCATCGGATTGGTTGAATTATACAGGATTTCCGGTAGGTGTGTCGCGCGTTCTTTAACGTTCTGCCTGGAAACAAGATACCATTCAGGTTTTTACAATCACTGATCTTCTACACATAATAACTGTCAGCTCCACACTTGATGACAGCTATTAGCACATTTACATCATATTTAAATAATTTAGCTATTACTATTTTGATATTTTATATCCTAGCTATGTTACAAAGTATATAATGATACATTATACAAACAAAAACGCCTATTTTGAGGTAAATTAAATACTTTACAAAAAAGGTTATCTCGTTTAGTTTTTCTGAATTGCTAAAACACGTTTCTTGAAACCATCACTCATTTTCTCGTAACCTTAAACACAAATCCAATCCTCAAACTAAATTCACAAAACCTCCGACTCTTCCATCAAAATCAAACAATCAGTGCAAAACCACTTCACTTGCACTCAAAATCAAACGGTGCTCTCAGATCACACACTCATGAGTCAATAAAATAAACACTACAGAGCATTCATTAGACACTACAGAGAAAACTGGAGAACACAGCATCCAGAACATTACAGAAAAAAAGTACAGTGTATCGAGTAAACAATTTTGCAATTCTGTAAAAAAGTATAGTAATTGCAACTGAGCAAGGTTAATAGATTGTATAGGCCTACTGTATGTACTGCAAGAATAGTATTGTGCTGAATATTGAATGTTTGTATATATTCTGCACTTGGATACTGCAAAAATACTGCAGTCCATCTGCAAAGGACAAAAAGGTCAAATAAATGAATAGTATTGTAGTGTTCTCAGACAAGGACAAGGCATTTTTGATGCAAAAGGGGTGTTTATTTGGGCTGCTGTCGGCCACAACCCACGCCGTACACACCCCGACTTGAGAGAGAACTGCACTTGTACCAGCGAGGCACTCTTCTGACCCCCTTCTCTCAGTTTCCCCTTACACACACCCCCAGGGGGTGGAGCCTCTTTCCATATACACTTGAACATCCAATAACAGTTCCAAACACAAAAAGGAATAAAGTGCAACATTAACATTAAACACATTGTTTTCCACAACACAACAACATTCTGAACATGTTACAGTACACTCAAATACTGTAAGCTGTGCAACTGTCAAATCAGGGTGATGAGAGATTACTGTAATTCTGTCTCAGCATCATGTCTTTGTGCTTGAGTCTAGACTGAAGACTGTCCACATCACAAGTAACGATTACAGTTTTTTATTCATATTATAATATTGTCTTAAATGTGTTTAAGGTTTAGCAGAAAGAGTGCTTTATTCGACAAATTGGTTTAAGCTAGTGAGAATTTGGTTCAGAGATGGGGTTTTAGTGTTTTAGCAATTCAGAAAAACTGTAATTGTTTATTTATATGTTTATAACATTCATGTGAGTTACTTTGCAACCACAAACAACTTACTGTTGTACCAGATTTGCACTAGATACAAGTAGTGTCTCAAAATTAAGAAACATCCAAGTGGGCAAATTATTCATTTTGGTGTGTGTGTGTGTGTATATACACGTAAACATCTGTAGTTTACATTTTCATCAAACATTCTGGAATTTATCTTGGAAAGCAGGAAGAAAAGGTCAGCTTGCCCTTAGGGCTGTATGCCAAACCACTCTTTAACCCACACACACATACATACACTATGGCAATCTCTTTATTTCCCTGTGCTCTTTAGACAGCCATGAGAATTATCAATGTGTCACTCTCCTTAAAGCTGTGGTCTCAAATCACTCATGAATGCAGACATCTCTCCCCCCCTCTTCAGCTTTTCATTCCATCGCTTGCCAATGTTACTCCTTCAAGGGGGTTGACTCTTGTACTTTAAATGGTCTATTGCTTTCTTCATTCCTCAGGATTAAGGCTACAACGATGTTGGAACTCCTGCCCATACTCATGAACCCACTTATTGGCAACTAGAAAAGAAAAGACAGCGACTAATTTGGTTAATATTGGTATGTTTTTTATAGAAAATATAAGGCTTCAAATGTCTTGGAATATAGCACATGAATATAAGGACATTTTGAATGTTTTTTTTTTGCTTAACAGGACAGTATATAAGTAAATAATAGCAGAACTTTTCATTGAAGGTTCACATTTTTCCTTTGCTGTTTTAATTTTCCACGCTTCTTTTCCAGAGTTGTTACCTGCAGTTTGAGCATTCCTATTGCTCAATTAGTAGAGTATGGCACTAGCAACACCAAATTCATGGGTTTGATTTTCCAGGGAATTTATATCAAACCAACTTAACAGATGTATACCTTGAATGCAATGTAAGTGGCTTTGGATATAATATGTGATACATAACAAGACATCACGTGATACAACAATCATACCCCATTTATCGCCAACAATAACAGGGCAGCCAGCATGAAGTGTGTCAACATTTCCTTGACCATTTCTATGAAGATTCCACCAAAAGAGAGCACCATTCTGGAAAGTGATCACATAAAAAATGAAAATGACAAATATACTCATTGCAACCTATCAGTTGATACTGTAAATCATGTAACATAAGAAAAATCGTAATATAGTTATATTCTGTAGTATAAATGCTTATTTGACTTTGTATGTAATAGCCAAAATCCTGAACCTCTATTAAGGTACAACTATTGCTGGGATAAAATCCCCTTAGTGGGTGGTGAAAACCTGAGTGCCTGGAGGTGAAAGTTCAAAATTCTAGATAGCTATCTATCAGGTTTCTTCAACAGCTCATTTATTGAAACAACACTGACTCCCAACCCTAAAGCTTTTGTTGTAACAGGATATCCAATTAAATGTCTGACCTCAATTGCAAACAATCTGTTATCACTCAGAATTGCAGGGAATGGCATTCTGAAAGCTGTGCAGAGTAAAGAATGATGTATGGGATTCTATACCTCCACTACAGGAACACTGAAGTTAGCGTAAATAAAGGCTGTGTATCCTCCTGCTTCCACAGAGCTCAGCTAAAGATGGAAAAAGGTTGTTCAGTGCTTCCAAAACTCACATACTCACTTTCTCATTCCAAACTAAATTGGCAAGATATTGTTTTTTAATTAAAAAAGTAAGAAATCAAGAGCTGAACTATTATTTACTTACATACATCATGAACGTAGCCACACGATTCCCAGTTTTTAGTCTGTACAATGGACTAGAGTCAGACTGCCATTAAAAAAAAAAATCATATTATCCAGTGGGTCTGCATCATGACACACAATGAATGTACATACAAAAATAATTATCAATAGAAAATGTCTGCATTGAAAAACACTTTAGTATTTCTGAATTTTTGAAAATGTCTTTCGTACGTGAATGTTTTGGAAAATATAGAGTAAAAAAATTCTTGTTACTCACTGTGGCATGGTCAAAATGAGGTTCATAGTGTCCCCCAATGCCATAATTTACAACTTGGAGATATTCAGCATAAGGAGGCTGCACATTCAACCCAGTGACCATAGTGATGCGCTGGTCCACTTTGCCCACAACTCCATGGGCTGATTCTTTAAGCCATGCACTAAAAGATCATTGACAAAAAATTGTAATGTCAGAGCCACTTTACACTTTAAGGAAGTACAAAAAGAGAAAAAATGGGATATTATTAGAAATGGGATATATTATTACTTGTATTATTTACCATTGAGATATGTTGGTTTTAAATATTTAGTAGTGCACTAGCATATAGATGAGCTGATTTAACTGTTTTCTTAAAAAAAATACTTGTACCTCTTGCTGATGCGATATTCCGCAGTGGACTGATTCACTCCTGATGCCACCACTGATCTTCTGAGCTGAAGGAAAACATGAAATATATCAATTTAAATGATGCAGATGCAGACAGAGACAGAGAGATACAGACAGAGACTTAGAAAAAGTACAAATAGACAGGATCAAAACAAAATGTTCCCTTGCAGTCTCTGTTATGTGAGAATTCCAAAAAGAAAAAAGAAAAAAACAGAACTACTAGCAGGGAGTTTCAATCCAGCACAAAAAAAAGGACGGAAACACATGATTTAATGCTCAGTCTGCTCCCACAAAAAGAAAAAAAAAAAAGAAAAGAAAAACACTCTGGGTGGAATAACTGACGAGCTGTGAGCACAGTTGATTCCGACCGCATGACTTATTCTCATAATGTGCTCTTCATCTTCTCTCCAGCTCAGTTTAACGCTGGCATATGTTGTATGATTAAATATGCCTGGAAAAGGAAGAAAAACTAGCACACAAAAGTTTGTGTATCTCTTGAGAAACTGGCTTCATACAGACATTTTAAAGAGTCTCTCCATGTTGAGCTGGCCAGTAACTGGCATGCATAGTTTGTTAAAGCAGTAAGATGAAAAGTGAGTGAAAAATATATTGTTCAGAAAAGAACAAATTAGAAAATGGAAGCAGGAAAAACTCAGCTGAGAACTGGCAATAAGTTGGCTCTAGTCTTTGCCAACCATTATCCCTCAAACCAAAAATGATCTAAGTAATGTAAAGGACTTAATAACATCCCAGTTATGGTCCAAATTCACTCATTCTTGCTTGTATTTAATATCAAAGACAGCATGCTGCATTATTAGTGATGCCTTGTTTAATTTTAAACAAATTACTTCTACATCTTGGTAAAATGCCCATTGCATATCCAATTCTGTATGTTTCCACATAAAGGCACTCACCCCTGGAACGGCATATTCTCTGATGCTTTTAGCTTCAGCTCGGGTGACAAAGCTATGGAAGAGTACAACATAAGGGTGCAGGCTGATTAGCTCTCGTTTAATTGGTTGCAGAAGTAGGCCAGGGTTGCCATTGGTGAAAAAGTCACAGAACAAGCTTGGATTCTCAAAATGCTTTGGCTGTAAAAAGAAAGTAATTTATACAGTAAATTATTATACAAGAAACTATTGTTATACAGACAGACAAGTACCAAGTTCACAAGTACACCATTGTTTGAGCCTATGTTGTCACTGTCCAACATGATTGAGTAGCCTAAACAGACTGAAATTCCACTTGGTGCCACTAGTTGTGCGGAAATTACACACTTAACATTTAAAGCAGGTCATTGTTTCATCTGACCTTCTTCATGATCCACATCTGACTGCTGTGCAATTTTCTTCATGCTGTCATGGGAGGAATTCTACCAAACTCCTCAGAGGATTTGCCATAACTTTTGACTTTTGCTGCTTTTTGTACTTCCTCTTTTTATGACAGGAATCATATGAAGTTATTTAGCGGAAGTTTAGTGAAAGTTACTCCATTTAGAAATTGCAATGAACCTTTAAATTACTTCTGAGTGGCAATGTCTGAAATGTTCTTTTGCTAACATACAGTATGTGCTAACATTTAATGTTTGTGTAGCTTGCAATACTTCCAAGAACAGATGGTATTGAATACAAGATAGAAGCTCTGATGAACGGTGAACACTACATTGTTTGAATCACAAGCACAGTGTGGAATGATACCTGAGAACCTTTTGTTTGACACAGCTTCTCATAGACATTCCTGGTTCTCAGATTGGTGGAGTCAGGCCTTTTCAAAACCAAACTTTGGTTAGTAACAGGCGGACTTTCATCTAGGAGCTTCTCATACTTCTCCACGTTGAAATGTACCCTACTGTTCACAGGATCTAGAAGACAAGATTGAAATTGCATTGTGATCAAATATGATAAAGAATTTTACATATTGATATATTTAAATTAAATGAAAATTCTGTCATTAATTACTCACCCTCATGTCATTCCAAACCCGTAAGACCTTCATTCATCTTCGGAACACAAATTAAGATATTTTTGATGCATTCTGAGAGCTCTCTGACCCTCCCATAGACAGCAATGTAGTTAACACGATCAACATCTAGAAACGTAGCAAGGAGATCGGTAAAATAATCCCTGTGTCATCAGGGGTTCAGCCGTAATTTTACGAAGCTACGAGAACACTTTTTGTATGCAAAGAAAACAGAAATGATGACTTTATTACTGTAAACAATTTGTCTCCTCCGCGTCACCCTATAGCACCATTTTGGAGAGTATCTACTGAATGTAAACAGCGTATGCTGTTCTGTATCAGCTGTGCCATGCGGATACGTTGTTTTCATTCAAATCAAAGCGTAAACAACATAGAAAACGTTTCCACATGACACAGCTGACACAGAACAGCATACACTGTTTACTTAATTTGTGTTCCGAAGATGAACGGAGGTCTTACAAGTTTAGAACGACATGAGGGTGCGTAATTAATGACAGAATTAAAATTTTTGTGTGAACTATCCCTTTTATCTTTATTTAGGAGTTAAAAATAAATTGATCTGTTTGGCTTTTTTTCTCAATGTCTCACTCATTGCTGTTGGCTGATATACTGCAGAGGTTTACCATGAAGCAATAGTTCCTGGGAAATACTGAGGGCGTAAGATATGTTTCCAGTCTAAAAAACATTGAAAATAGTAAACAAGTGTAAATTCTTCAATAGATTGCAAAATGCATCCATAAAAATTATAATGTTTGGCCCTGTTTATACCTACTATTAAAATCCATAGAGTGATCCAATCACAAGTGGTCAGCCACGACACTTTGCTGTTTACATCTGCTTGTAAAATGTATCTCCTGTGAGCCCAGATTTTGAGGGGAGGGTTTCTGGTTTTATGAATTCATATTTTTATACATTTATATTTTATATTTTCCATTTTAGTTAAAGTTTGTGTCTTATTGTCATTATTATTACTACATCTCTATATAGTTTAGTTAGTACATCAAGTTGAACTAAACAAAAAGAAATGTTGCTTTGGTAACTAGCTTAAAATAAAATCATTTTAAGATTTTTAAAATGCATTTAATTTAAAATGAAATACTTTTTTATATTAAAAATTACTTTTTAAAATTGCATTTAATTTCAGTTAACACTTAGTATTTTTTATTTTTAATGAACTAAAATAACCCTGTCAACCAACCAAATAGGCAGTTTTTCATTTAGGTAACTGAACTGGAACACACCAGCATGGTACATTATGAAATGTGGTCACGTGAGTTACTTGATACCTCCAAATGTGATTTAACAAACTGTTCAGGACCCTGTTTACACTGGGTCAGATCACCCAAGATGGATCTTAATACCTGGTCTAAACATATTTATTTTATAAGAAGTGCCATACCTTAAAATGAGAGAAAGCTAAATGGTCAAGGGCATCTTCAAGTGTGCCTTCATTTTCTGGACTCCATTCTGTTCCTCGAAAGAGACGAACTGCCTCCTCAAACCATTGCACAGAATGGTAGTAATCTTCCAAATCATAGGACACCTACAAACATAAAGCTCTCACAGATGTAGCATAACAAAGATGACATGGAAATGGAAAAAAGCTAAAAAGATGACGACAAACCACATATCTGACACTTGGACTCAAAATGCTTCTTACACAATTCAGTCAAAAACCATTTAGTCACTGGTTATTCAATGTGTTACTTTATGAATGTTAAAAGAAGTTGCCAAGTGTTGGCCAAACAGCATATTTTATTTGGTAGATGTTCGGGTGTTGGTAAAGAGAACAGATGGTACTTATTACAAGAAGGCAACAAAACAGGGCTTTTCTTTTTGCATGAAGGAATAAAAGTATAAATCATTTGGTATGATATTCACCACAAAAGAGGCACCAGTGAGTCAGTGACTAAACAAAATTGAGCAGTATGGAATCTACATCAGGAAATAACATTAAGCTCAAGCGGGAACACGTTCTGAACACATTTTTCCAGAGGTTTTCCCAGCGATTCACAACACATTCCAAACTTCGAGAGCGTGGGCAGTAGTGTTCGAGCCCTCTAAGAGTTAAGCTTGTGACAAATAAGAAATGATTAGCTTTAATGCCATGCTATGCTTTGCAGACTGGAAATAATGCAGTGTGTCCTACCTTTCCAATAAGGAAGCAATCATCCCCAGATAGCGTATCAGACACAGGAGGTTTGTAAATATCAACAGCATTTCCATTTGTGATTTGCTGGAAGTGACCTCGCACAAGGCCCTCCACATGTAGATCATACACATCCTGAAGTCTCATCAGCCCCTGCGCTGCTCCCTGAAGGTCTTCCAGCTTGGGTAAGCTGCCTTCCATTCTCCTGTAGCCCTCCCTAAGGCCTTAACGAAAACAGTAAATGGGGGTTGTGATGGGGTAGAATTGAGTAAGAGAAGCAAGCCAGTACAGTGAAAAAAGCACATGAAGCTACAGTTACAGTTTTGAAGCTGTACGGATCAAGGCTTTTCTGAAATGAGTATGTGTGTGAAGGTAAGCTAGCTACCGTCAATATTTTCTTGGGCTTCATTGCTATGGACAACATTCATCCATTCAGATTTGAGTCTTTTGACCAGCTTGAATGCAACAATTGGATTAGCTATGGTAGCTGATGGATCATTGTATATCCCACTGTGCAATGATGTGACTCTTGAGAAGAATCTAAAAAAGATCAAAGAATTATTACTTGGTTGCAATTTTTGAATTATATAAAACAGGGCTGTCCAAACTCGGTCCTGGAGGGCCGGTGTCCTGCAGAGTTTAGCTCCAACTTGCCTCAACACTAAACTCTGCTAAACTCTAAGAGCTAAACTCTGCAGGACACCGGCCCTCCAGAACCGAGTTTGGACAGCCCTGATATAAAACGTTAAACATAATAACAACAAATCAATCAGATTGAATTAAAACGACAACTGTTCTCTCAGCTTCAGTGTTGGCATAGTTTTCATGTTAACAAAACAACATGATACAGAAATGCCCCTTTACAATTTTGCCGTTTTAATTTTTATATTAGGCCTAATACAATTTTTAAATAAATAAATAACAACAACAAAATGCTAATATCTGAACAGAATATGACTTGTAGAACAGAAAAGTATTTGATTCAATATAACACAACTGAAAACAAATTCGCTGGCTTTGTTGAGCAAAGTTTGGCATGGTTCTTAAAATATAGCCTACTGTCGTACAACTTTTAAAACACCGATATTTCTTACAGTGTAACGATTAAACATGACCACATCTTGTTGTACCTATTTATATTGCTTAATAACTTAATTGAGGCTTTAATACATTTAAATAAATGATCAAATTACGTTTTCTTACCTTTTGATATCGTCAAGTCTTTGTATTTCGTTTTCTAAGTAAGTTCTTAAATAATCGAGGAGTTGTCTTTCAGCGAAAACGGCTTGCTTCACGCTCATCACTGAAGTGAACATCTCACCGAACGATTTGTCAGATATATTAACTACGTATAAAAATATTAAGAGACTAACGTATGAAGACATCTTGTAAGGTAGATGTTTAAGAGGTCTTACATATTAATGCGCCGAATGCGTTATTCCACAGCTTTTCATTCTTCTTAAGCGCACTATGTTCTCACGCAGGACATGAAAGAACGTGCACATCTCATGATGAGCCATCAGAAGTACGTGTGTGTGTGTGTGTGTGTGTGTGTGAGAGTGTGAGAGAGAGAGAGAGAGAGAGAGAGTCACTTGACTTTTTCAGATATTTTAAAAACTGCAGGTTCATCCTGTATTCACACTGTAAGTCAAAAGATAGCTGTCACAAACAAGGTGTTATGGGTAATATAAGAACTGAAAAGCACGTATAGATGTAACTGCAGAAATGTCATGCCACATTTTGCATACTTATGAGATTTTTTTTACCAGCGAATAATGGAAATCTGTTTTGTCTTACTGTTGTTTGGTAAACTGAAAAAAGCCTTAATAGACAGTGTTTTTTGAGTGAAGAAAATGCTTTATTTATTCAAACATCAGCTCTTTATTTACCCTTGCAATGCAAACAAGCAGAGATCTATCTCCATACTGTTATGAGGTTATACATATAGTTATAAGGTCTTGCCAACAGTCTGAGGATCCAATGGCGTTACGAGTTTTAGTCACAGCCTCTTTTCATGGGTTAAATATTTGTAAAACCCACAAACAGACGTAAAGATGACCAATAGCATTGATTAAAAAAAAAAAAGAAATGTAGAGATATGAAGTTTCCGCCTGACAGCTTGTAGTATTATACATTTATTTATTTTAATTTGATAATTTTCCATAGCACACCTGACAACCTATCACGGAACACTTGGGAAACACTGTACTATGATATGGGATGTGCTTATTTTAATCTCACATGTAAGATATTTATGTGTATGAATAAGATACTTATTTACAGCAAACATTCCAAAATGCAAAGTATCTATTTCAAATTTCTTCCAAACAGTTTAGTATAAAAATGTGATGGCCGTGGTGAATATTTTATATGACATGCAGATAGATTGCAGTAGGCTAACAAATGACATTGAGCATCATAAATGGTCAGATTTGTTTTTACCTGATGACAGCCTCCATTTCTACATACTGTAGTATATTCACATTTTCACAAATATACTTTTAGATCATGTATGTTATACACTACAGTTCAAAAGTTTAGGGTCAGTAAGTTCAAAGTTAAGTTTAAAGAAATGAATACTTTTATTCAGCAAATTGACAGTAAAAGTGACAGTAAAGACATTTATAATGTTACAACAGATTTCTCATTCATCTGTTCTCATCAAAGAATCATAAAAACATCATGGTTTACACAAAAGATATTAAGCATTACAACTGGTTTCCAACATTGATAATAATAAGAAATGTTTTTTGAACACCAAATCAGCATAATATAATGATTTCTGATGGATGGTTGCAACATTGAAGACTGAAGAAATCACTACTGAAAATCCAGAGGAATAAATTACATTTTAAAAGTTTTTTTAAATAATGTCACAGTATTACTGTTTTACTGTATTTTTGATCAAGATTATGTAAATGTAAAGACTTTCAAAAACATAAAATAAAATCTTACCAACCACAAACTTTTGTGTTGCTTTAGACCAAATTATATTATTATTATTATTATTACTACGCTTCATTTGTCTGACATGAACCTTCTCACAATGAAATTCTGAATGATATTTTCACAGAACTGAATATATTTTCATTCTCAAAGTTTCTCAATCTGCTTTTACAGTAAATAATGCACATCAATTAAAGAATGAAATTCCTAAATTACATTAAGATCTTAATGTAATTATTTTTTACACTGTCAAATTTCCACCTAAAATGATCTAACATGGGTATAACATTATTATTATTATTATTCAACTTTTTTAGCTAACATTTTTTAAAAATATATTTAGCAATCCAAACATGATAGATAGATAAATAGATAGATAGATAGATAGATAGATAGATGATAGACAGACAGACAGACAGACAGACAGACAGACAGATAGACAGATAGATAGACAGACAGACAGATAAGATGATAGACAGAAAGACAGATAGACAGATAGACAGATAGACAGATAGATGATAGACAGACAGTCAGATAGACAGACAGACAGACAGACAGACAGATAGACAGATAGACAGACAGACAGACAGATAGATAGATAGATAGATAGATCAATCTTTTAGTTACTTTTATTTAGTTATTTTGACTTCTTTATGTGGGTCAATACGTGCACCATAACAAGGCATGACTTTCTTCATATAGCTTCTGAGGCTCTCATCTCTAAGGCCATAAATGAGCGGGCTCAGAAAGCGTGGAAGCAGGATGAAGCAGAAATAATAGATAAAAGACATATCTGCTTGAGACAAGTTTACACGCTGGAAAAGAAAGAGTTCTGCGACAGGCTGGGAGAAGGCCATCACGCTGAGGAGCAGCTGGAACCCATGAAGCAGCACTGTGTGCTGAGCCTTCCTCACTGACGCCCGGTCCTGCCGCATCCGCCGGGTCTCCAACAGGATCCGAATGTACGTGAAGAGGATGACCACAGCGACCACTGCAAAGAAGATCCCGTTGAGGCTGACTTTGAACAAAGCCTGAATGGGAGAAGCATTGAGCACAGCAGTTTTGCAGAGCACAGGGGTCGAACGGACATCTACGTTCGGCTTGAGCCGCATCAAGACAAAGTCAACGGTGGGCAGAATACAGCTGATGATCCAGAGGCTTAGAACGATGATCCAAATCCATTCAGGTCTCCAGATGGCAGGACGGTGAAGCGGGTAGAAAATAGCCACGTAACGCTCCAATGACATGGTGGAAAGGATGAGTGGGGTGTTTAGAAAGGTAGCAGTGGACACAAACAGCAATGGAGCACAGAAGACGATTGCAAATTGTACAAAACTCATCACTAGCAAGAAAAGGGATACAGAGGAGAGCAGCTGCAAGGTGTCGTTGATCAGCATGTAGGTGAAGAGGATGTAACGGGAGCTGTCAAAGAACTGCCTGTGAGATGCAAAGGTGTACAGCGTCAGGAGGATGAAGAACAGGAAGGCAATGAAGAACGGAATCACCACACAGACCTTCACAATGACAGAGATGTTAATGCTGGACGTCGTGTTGCCTGGGAGGTCTGTCAGATTCTGCATGGTTTCAAGCACTCTGCAGAGCTGAAAGGAAGTTTGCAAAAGAAAATGTATTTAGCTTGGAATGTGGTACATGAGAACAGTATAGAATAAAGCAGTAGGTATCTCAAACGTCTAATGTAATGTTCACTGGATTATTAATAGGAGATTCTGCATCTGATCTGATTTCCATTCATGAAGTAAACTTTTACGCTTGATCACTCACCACACTGCCTCTGTTGGAAGAGAAATTAAAAGATAATTAGAGATGGGCAGCCCACTTTTATACTGCTGAAGATTTGCTTCATGACAAAGGAATGGGATTTGTTTTCCCAAAGGATGGATTAATTTCACGCTATGAATGCAAAGCATCATTATAGCAATTAACAACCAAACAATCCAAACAAAACAAATCGAGTTGGCTGTAACTTGAAAGAGTGTTTGTGAATCAATAGGCAATGTGCTTTTGAAAAATAATGGATAATAATTATATGCTTTTTAAAATATGTTTATACATTTACAGTTTTTCTCAGTCACTTTGGTACATTTCTCAGATCAGAATTGAAATTCTCAAAACTACCTGTTCAATCTTCACATCATTGTGTCACTTGTGCACATCAAAAAAGCAGTTTCTCATTTCTTTGAACAAGTTGCAAATGCTTTGGTACATCCATGCAAATGATTATGTACAATTCTCTGCTGTTTCCTACATTATCAATTGCTTATGTCATGTTGATCAAAATGTATTATAATGGGTCTCTGTTGAATAGTCTCACCCCCCACAACATTTAGGCATTAGTTCATAGCATAAGTCTTTACATGCAAAATGGTTGAACAAGTTGTCATAATATGTCAAGCATATTTCTATACTTTTCCATTATACTTTTTTTCTAAAATCTGTCCTGCATTGGTAAATTGCTCCCAGGTGAATCTTGATTTTCTCTAACGAAGGTGCATCTCATGAACCATCAACTGGCAAGTATATACTGTATATAGCTGGAGCGCAACACAATGTTTCAGTGTCTGACAATGGAAGGACAAGGAATTGGACGGGGTCAACAGCCAGAGAGAAGAAGAAGAGGAAGAGGAGTGAGGCTGCGTAGCAGAGGAGTTGGGAGGCAAAACAGAGGAAGAGGCAGAAGAGGCCGAGGACATATGCGTGTTCCTGATTAGATAAGAGCCACACTTGTAGACCACGTTCTCAATCATGGGCTTACAATGGCCGATGCTGGTCGAAGGGTGCAGCCAAATGTTAGGAGAACAACTGTGTCCTTAATCATTCAGAATTTTTTGTCAACAGAACAGGTATGTAATCTAACAATAGGCACTGTACTGTAATACTGTATACTTTCTGTAATGCTTCATACAATATTACAGTATTCCACTTGCATTTTACAATATACAGTAAGTATACTTTAAACAGTGACATTTT